AGGACTGAGAGGTATTTGGGAGTTCCTGCCATGTTATCCACCTTCTTGGGGGCTGCAAAAACTGGGTTCTTCCTATGGTTCTTGGATTCTTAGTTTGGGTGCAGTTTCTTGGCCTTTATTGCAGTCTTGTTGGTTTTCTATGTGTAGGACATCTTTAAGGCAGGAACTATCACAGCAGAAATAACCACAATAACCCATATGGACACACAGCTCCCAGGATTCTGGATGAGCTAAATATGTATTGTGAAAAAAGTCATGTTACAGAAAACCATCTACACTTTTAGTACAGCCTCCATCCCATTTCCTATCAATTCCATTGCAGAAAGAGAAGAGTCAAGACTAAATTTTATGAAAAAGGAAATTGTCAATTATCTAGACCTATCTTAAGGCACAAGAACAATACTGTAGTATCACTACAACTATCTTTATTTTATACTGAGGAGACAAGTAGCAGAAAAATAACTGTGTTGAAAACAGACAATATATCAATGAAATATAAAGCCCAGAAATAGTTGTAATCAAACAGAGTTACCTGATTATTTGAGAAGTTCACAAAAAATGTCTGGCTTGGGAATGGGACCCTAAGAAAGGCATGGCACTGTAAAACTGGGTGTCCATTTGTCCAACAATGAAATTTGACCCTATTCTTCAATCTGTACTTTTTTTCAACTCACAAGTTGATTGCTTATTAATAAGAGATTAGAACTTTACAAGTAATAGAGAAATCGAGGGACAACATAACTTTAATAGAAGTCAAACTGCTCATAAAATAATAACAAGAATAAGCTCTAAATTTCACTGAGTGGCAGAAAGCTTTTCATTCACAAGTCCCCATATTCCACCCAACACTACAAAACAAAGTAGCTGTGGTTGCATCCATTTGAAAATTTTCAGCACAATGGATGAAACAGTGGGATATCCAAGTGAATGGTTGAATTTACTGGTACCTATTCATTTCACAGAGGATTAATAGCATAGTATAAAACAACTGTAAATTTTAAATACCAGTAGGAAAAATGCAGTTAAGGAACAAGCAGATGAGCAGACACATTAAAATTTAAAAATTGCTAAGGGAAAACCAATATTGAAAAAAATGTTAAACTATTTGAGCAATCAGAACAGTAAAACTAAAAGATAAAATAGTTACCAATCAAGCCAGACAATAATTGCAGTTTCAATTGAGCTACAAAATGTATGTGCGCAATGAGGGAATGTAAAATATTAAACTGAACATTTAGGGCCAGAGAAGTTTAAGTTGAATTGGAAGATGGCAGTGTGGGCAGAAGGAATATGCATTTTTGAATCATGGTATCAAGATATAATACCTCAGTAATGAGGTGTGAGCTGGAGATACATGTTAGAAATATATAGTATTTAAATGTTGCTCCTCTGTGGCAGAAGTTAAGAAGGAGCTATGTCATATATGCTAATTTGTTAATTAATTAAATATCTGCAAGATACAGTAGTAAAAAACACTCTGTGAGTCAAGCACCTGCATATTAGTGCCTTAAAGTGTTCTATTGTGATAGAATGAGTTCATATTTTCAGTGCTTATTACTGTCTCTGTTACATTTTCATAATGCCCTGGGATCTAGAGGCATGTGGATAATTTAAATTCCTATTTATCCTTCATGCACATTTGTACCTGGATCTACCTTTGTACAAAACAAACAAGCTAGTTCTTCACAGAGATAGTCTGGAACACAGAAATAGTTTCCGAAAATCATTCCTGAATTTCTTTAGTAGAAAAACCAAAAGAAGGAAGTAATTTTTTTATTTCAAATGTACTATGTGTATTGAAATATCACAATGGAACCCATCATAATATGATTTGTACACATTCATCAACAAAGTATTTTTTCTAAAAATTCCCCAAAATTGCATTGTTGGTAATGATGTAGAGAAATCAAAGGATGAAGATAGCTCTTAATTAAAATTGCCTGTGCTGGTTGCTCAATCCTTAAATTCTAGCCAATCAGGGGTCTGAGACCCATGGACCTGAGTGAAAGCCAACTTGGGCAGAAAAGTCCATGACACATTTATCTCCCCTTAAGCAACAAAAAGACAGAAGTGGTGAGCTCAGAGTTCTAGAGAAGGCCAATCAAGGGTGCAAAGGAAGCCAAACACCTGTGCCTCATTCCTGTAATCCTAGCTACATCAGGAAGCTGAAAATGAACAGAAGAAATGAGAAATATGGGAAAGGACAAAGGACATCGGAGAAGGTTTAAAAATGGTTAAAAATAGTGTGAGTGACCATAATCTAAGTTTGTGATATGTAGTGTGGAACTAAAATATGAACCAGTGAGAAACACCATGGTTACATCAGATATCACATCCTGATATCTAATTGCAGTGGTCCACTTATCTACAATAAATACTTCATGAATAAATATTACTATCTATTGTCAATATCATGCATAATACTTTACTAACCCAGACTGTAATTCTCTTTATGTCTGTAGATAGCTATGAAAGTATATTAGCAAAATACCAAAAGTAGCCAAACATGTTTTAGGAAATGAAGAGAAGTAAAATCAGCTAACCATGGGTAAATAATGAGGTAAATATTGGTGCTCATGCCTGTAGTCTTAGGCACTTAGGAGCCTGAGATTTCAGGATCATGTTTTGAAGTCATCTTGGACATGGATGTCTGTGAGCCTCTTATCTCTAATTAATAACAAGAAAGTTCCAGAAGTGTAGCTGGCTTGAACGAAGAACCTCAGTGACAGTGCCCAGGCCATTAGTGCCTAGGACAAGTACAGAATAAAAAAGGATACCCAAACATACTAGTGGCATAGAAAATAAGGACAGATATATTCTATAGTAAGGAAGAGAGTAATTCCTATTGCTGCCATCTCTGCTCCCATGGGTGAGCAGGTATTTCAGATTTTATTTCTCATACCAGGATTTGGAAAGGAGTACACATGATAGAGGCAATAAGCATTTCCTCTTGGAGTAGCTATCAAATTGACTGCTAGAGTTCCTTTGAGTGTTGTAGAATCATTTTTCTTTCTTTTTTCCTTTTCTTTGTTAGCCATTTCTTAGTGATAACTTCGGATAGAGACAAATAGCCAATGGTATGGATGTGCACAAGTAAAGAAGGTCTCATCTTGTATAGATAAAGTTCTCCCATAAGGGAACTTTCATAGTGTTTTCTAACACCTCGATATAACATGAAATAATGCTTAGTTTGAAAGTCACTGTATGCCTAAAGTGAAAGATAGCAAGAGAGAGAAAGAGAGTGTGTGTGTGTCTCTAAGGGACTGAAATCAGAGACTGGACACAGTCCTTGAGCTTTTTTGTTCAATACTACCACTCTGTCACTTGAGACATATCACCGATTCCAGGTTTGGCTGATTAAATGGCGATAAATCTGTCATATTTTTCCATGCCTGGGCTGACTTCAAACATTGATCCTCAGCTTTCAGCCTCCTGAATTGATAGTATTACCATGAGCCAGCAGTCCACAATAAGAATGTGTTTCAGAGACCTCAAATTAAAGTGATACCTAAACAAAACGTCTGAGACGATTTGCCTATTGGAAAGGATATGTGTCTGTAGTCTTTTAACACAGAACTCATGAAACTGATTCCATTTGTTTGTAATAATATCACTTCATCAACTCCAGTGAGATCTGGCATGGAGTAAAGTGAATGAAATACTGTTTCCCCAGGAAAGAGGAGTTACATGGAAGAAAAACAGATACATTTTCTACCAGCATGTAGAAATTTACTCAACAGTAGATAGAAGAGGAAATAATGAAACTGAGCCATTTCTGGTGCAGTAGGGATGGATTTTCAGGGTAGAAAAGAGACGGTACACTCATCAATACTCCCGGAGTTCCCTCAGCAGTTGCCTATCCTGACAACAAAACAGTAAATAAAAATTAACTGATGAGTTACTTACGGCTTATTCTCTTCTTGTCCAGAAACATCACTGCTACTGAGATCTGTTCCTAAAGTGTAGAGGGGGAAAAACCCAGCAATCATCACATCTCCATTCATGTGTGCTCGCTTCTTCATTGTAGAAAAGCAGTTAGTGCTAGGCAAACACCTGACAAGGAGCAGAAGCTGAAGGAGAAAGAATATGAAAGTCAAAAGAGACATTCCTGAAGTATCTGCCAAGCTGAAATCCTGACCGGCAGTGAGGCCAACATTTTCAGGTATATATACATTCATGTATTTTCGTATATGTGTATATGTGTCTTTTTATTGACAGAGATGAATACTGTAGCCCCAGTTCTTGGAAATCTCTTGTAAGTCCCCAGGCAGAAAGGGTAAAACTCCTCCATGGGGCTCTGCATCTGAGACCCTGCATTGAGAAGGAAAACATAAGTTGGAAAACATGTTTACAGATTCCCCTTGTTCAACCCAGTTGTTATGATTTCCTCCAAGACCACAAATAGTGAGTATCTAGGGATAAAGTTAACTTTGATATTTGGTCCAACATCTGTGACAAGAAACTATTTGCATGAAAGCCATTTAGGATGATGCAACTGGATTGCATCAGAGGATGCCTAATCAGGTGCATGGTGAAATGGCCAGGAAAAATGTATGGCACTGGGATATCAACAAAAGCTACTAGGACATCACACACAGTGGGTCAGTTCACAAACTCAAGATCCAGAACAGCCACAGAACATTGCTTCTTGATCCAGGCAGGTTTCCATGAGAATTCCATGTGCAAAGTCCTCCCCAAATGTACCTATTTACTATTCCCGGGAAAGCAGTGCTGCTGCTAAAACCAGCAGCCTCATATTGAAGGCTCTGCAAAAAATTGCTTCTCATGTATTTTGACAAATTCACAGATCAGTTCATCAAAAATAGCCTCAATTAAATAGTCTCAATAAGTCAAGTTCAATGTCCAAATTGAGGTTTACATTTGCATTCTGATATTTCACCTTCACATAGCTAATTTTTACTAAACACAATCAAGATTTTTTTTTGACGGTCGTGGGGCTTGAACTCTGGGCTTGGGCACTGTTCAGCTCAAGGCGAGCGCTCTACAGCTTGAGCCACAGTGCCACTTCCAGTTTTCTAGTGGTTTATTGGAGATAAGATTCTCATGGTCTTTCCTGCCTGGGCTGGCTTTGAACCACGATCCTCAAATCTCAGCCTACTGAGCAGCTAAGATTACAGGCATGAGCCACTGGCACAAGGCTAAGATATTATTTTTAATGATGTACTTGTCTGAGAAAATGTGGTAATATAGGAAATTCTTTCTATGTCAAGTATAAGTCAATATGAAACCATCTGTCTGTTTTCTACTTGTTATAATGTTAGACCCAAATTCCATGCAGAGACCTCAATAGCAGAGCTACTTCAGGGAGGTGAACACACCCTGCACAAGGCTGCAGTGTTTTATACACATACATATCACAGTATAAATGAAGCTGAATATGTACTTTAACAATTAGGAGGAAAATAAAAACCTTTCTCATGAGGTTTCCAGTGGATTTTATATTTGTATACTTTGAAAATACTCGGTACTATATTTTAGTTCCCCTGAGGCTTTATTTATACTTGTACATGTATGTGTAGAGTGAAACTCACTCTCACAAAAAGTGGCAATGGTTCATGTCGTAAATCTATTAATAGTTTCATGAGGAAATCACATACATTTCTCTAGTGGTTGCATGAAATGATATTGCCATGAATATGTGCTCCCTTTCACTTCATTCTTGCCATAATTTGATATTGGTGTTCTCAAAGATAGACATTGTCACTGGAATGTGATAAAATTTAATGTCCTTTGGCTTTGCATTTCTTTAATACCAAGGATTTTCAGTGATTTTTTTTGTCGGTCGTGGGGCTTGAACTCTTGGCCTGGGCGCTGTCCCTCAGCTCTTCAGCTCAAGGTGAGCGCTCTACCACTTGAGCTACAGCACCACTTCCTTCAGTGATTTTTATTAGCCAATTATACTTCTGGATTTGAGAACTATCTTTAGCCATATTTGCCAATGTGACATGTTGATTGCTGAAGAGTAGTTTTCTGATTTCCTGTATATTCTGCTTATTAATCACTTGCCAGATGTTTAGCAGTCTGACTCTATAGGCAATCTATTCACTCTACTAACTTTTCCTTTGTTGTGCTGAAGGTTTTAATTCAATGTAATCCTGTTTGTCAGTACTTGTTCTTATTTACTGAACTATTTGAAGATTTAATCAGGAAGTTACTGCCTCAACAAAATGATTTCACTGATTTTGTTAACTGTAGTGTAGTGTTTTATCTTAAGTTTGAGATCCAACATTTCTGGGATCTAGAAAAACAACATATATTCACATTTTAGGGCCTACTGCAATACCCAGCCACAGAAAATGTTAGTAAATGTGGTCATAAGAAGAGAATCTGTGCATGAAATATTTAATAACCATATATGTTACCCTTGTGCATACACATGTTGATCCTTTGTAGCCAGTGTATTCCTGCAAGGCTTATAGATTAGAAGTCTACTTACAGCCAGCATTTGTTTCCAGGACACAAAACAGAACATAGTAATTTGACATTCATGTATTTAGTGTTTCTAAGAATGAACCTGGTATTAAATAGTTCAAAAATGGTCCAAATAAACTAATAGGAAAATCAGTGCATTTCTGATCACAATAAGTAAAACAGGAAAGATTTTTACCTGTTATTTGAATAACAGATGCAGCACCTACATATCGTTAGAATCATTGCATGTATATATTACTGATCCCACTTGGGTGTGTCAGAAAAAAACACTGCAGCCAGGTGAGCATTTTGCAAGGTTCTCTAGAACTAGACTTCAATAATTGGAATTCATGAAATGATTCAAAATATTCAATCCATCCATCCTGTCCATTTGCTGGAAATTTGTCCATACCAAATAGGCACTAAACTGTCTCTTCAAATTGTAATAACAATTCTATTTATGTGTAGGTGAAGCCTACACATTGGCTATTACCAGCTCTGTGTGTTAGGTGACAGAGAGGTGCTAGCTTAGGCTGGTCCTGTGGAGTTTGATGTCCATGGCCGTTGGATCTTTTCTGTGCCTTTATTTCTTTATGAAGAAAACGTTCTCTGATCCAGCTTCAATTATTTGATGCATGAGAAATTGAAGAATTATTTATGAAGGGACACCAAATTCTGTCTGAAAGGAATATCCCAAACCTACAATATATACAGCCCAAGGATGGCTTAAAGCAGAGTGAGAGACTCCAGTCACACAACACTATCTGTAAGAGAACTGGTTGACATCATATATCACATAGATATGAATCACCTATGGAGTAACAGCTTGGAGTAACTCAATGCACTGAGCATTGTTTACTGAGGTGATGAGGAAAACACAAGCTCTGCTGGGCTGCAGGCAATTGAGAGTTCGCCATGAACACTAGAAATCCTATACAGGTTCAGTATTTGTGAAGCTCTCATGGACTCAGCATGATGAAATTAATCCGTATTCTGGTTTGAACTTCACACCACAAGAGTTTGTTTTGGTCTGCAGAGATGGTACATTTTTTTCATCATGGTGATATTTGGGATGTGTCCTGGAGGGCTGAGGTATAGGGATTTCTCTATGGGAGAAAGAAGATAAAGGAGGGTAGGTATTGTTTTGACTTCTGTAACATACCATCATCATGACAGAGAAAGGAGGGTAAGGAATATTCAGAAAAGAGTAGGCTACCAGCCCCCTCTTTGCAGAGTTAAGTGCAACTCCCAACCTTCAGTCACAATTGAGTTTCCAATAATGTCACTGACTAGCAGCCATAGGGCCTTAGCTTGTGTTGTACTGGTCTTTGAATGGACAGCAGAAATCACTGATCTCCAGAACTCACAGAGTGATTGTGGCAGATGAGGGGAATTTATAATCTTTTTGGACTCAGGTTCCCTCCTATCTACCTCAGTTGCCATTACCTGTATTCTGGTCAGGTGGCAGGATGACTACTGACAGGTATCTCAATGCCTACTTGAAGTGTAGGGAAAGTGTACCTGAATACAGGCTCAACTGAAATTTGTAAGTCCGTCTAAGACCTGGAATGCTGTGCTCTCCTTCCCTTGGCCCAAATGGAGGTCCAAGAGACCGGGAAAGCCAAGCCTGTGGGTTTACATCCTCTAGGTGAAAAAGAGTACATTCGGTGTTTGAGGATTTAGGTCTCCACTGGGAGGAGACTTCGGTGTTTGAGGATTTAGGTCTCCACTGGGAGGAGACTTCCACACTGTCCTTGGGCCAGGAGTAAGAGGACCCTGAACTAAAAAAGGGGAAGTTGAAAAAATTTCTGCATTGAAATTTTCAGATGGAATATTATAAGCAACAAGTATTTCTTTGTCTTTGTAAAGACTTAAAACAGTAATGTACAGCACCTTGTTCCCTCATGCAGCTCTATACCAGCCCCAATATTCATTCTGGACCAAAGGCCAGAGATGGATTTACCTATATCACTGACTCTGGCACTTAGCCTAGCTATCTCTATCACCTGGTCTTGTCCTAGAGGCTGATGCTGTTCATGAAGCCCTTGTACACAAAAACATCAACAATATCTTTTTCAGAGAAGTAGCCAGTATACTGAAACTATGTATTGTGTTAACCAGTCTACCATCCCCAAGGAAAGTTTTAGAGGTCTCAGCCATTATCCCCTTTTTAACCACTTGCATTTCTTCCATGTGTTTACATATAGGCACATACTATCTACTGCATGTGAGGGACATGAAAATTTTGTTTTCCTGAGAATGGCTTAATTCACTTACAACAAGCTGAAAAGAGTTCATAGAATGATTTTTTCCATCTATACATCAAGACAAGAGCCTAATATCCATAAAACACTTAGAGTTTCAAAAATTAAACCCTCAAAAACAAACCTTCACAATTAATATAACCCAATTATTAAATGGGCTAATGACTTAAAGACAGACTTCTCAGAAGAAATAAAACAGAAGGTTCTGATAAGAAATGAAAATGGACAATAGACACATGAAAAACATTCAGTATCTCTGGCTATAAAGCAAATGCTAATTAAAACTACAATATTCCAACTCACTCTAGGTAGAATGGTTAATATCAAGAAAACTAACAATAAAAAATACTGGTGAGGATGAGGCCAAAGTAGAACTCTACACTCTTGGTGGCAAAAGAAGCCTGTTCAACCTCTCTGGAAAGTGTCATGGTGATTTCTCAAAAAAATAACCATAGAGTTACCTTATGATCCTGCATTTCCAATAGAACATAAAAAGGACACAGTCAAGCCACAAGCAGAACCATGTTCATTGTAACATTACTTTCCATAGGTAAGATACGGAAGCAGCACAGATGTCCCTCAGTGGATGAATGGATCAAGAAAATTTGGTATATATACACAATGAAACTGGAGTCATCCATTAGAAAGAAAGAAATTATACCATTCATGAGGAAATCCTCAATAACTTTTCCTCAGTTATTATTTCTGAGATATATTAAGGTCCCAGTTAATTCCAAAGAATAGGACATGTTTGTTATACTTTATAGTTTCTCATTATTTGGCTGGTATTAATTTTTGGATGGGGAGATTTATTTTAGTTCCTTTATTTAATAATTCCAGGGTTGTTAACAAGCATTTTTGGACACCATTAATTAGGATCACCTAAAACCATAATTTTTCAGTGCTTATTTTAAGAAATAGCAGGTGTCTTACAAAATATTCATGTTTCTTTTTATAAGCGAAGAATTCAATTTTCTGACCAGAGAAAAGAGTCTTTATTTATGTCACCAACTTATGATGATAGCATTGATGAAAAAAAATAGAAGTAAGCCAGGCGCTGGTGGCTCATGCCTGTAATGCTAGCTAGTCAGGAGGCTGAGATCTGAGGATCATGGTTCAAAGCCAGCCTGGGCAGGATAGTCCCTGAAACTCTTATCTCCAATAAACCACTCTCAAACCGGAAGTGGTGCTGTAGCTCAAGCGGTTGGGCACTCAGCTTGAGCTGAAGAGCACAAAGACAGCACCCAAGCCCAGAGTTCAAGCCCCACAGTGGACAAAAAAAAAAAAAGAAGTATGCACTGCAGAATTCTCTTTTGGAATAATGATACACATTCATTTTCTAGTCCCATCACCTTGTTTTACTCATGGCCCCTTTACCACCAATCATAGTTAACATACTTTTTCATATAACACCCATAATCCTGCCCCCAGCAAATGATAAGAAGCCAGGTGCTAGTGGCCTCAGCCCATATTCCTAGCTACTCAGGCAGCTGAGATGTGAGGATCATGGTTTGAAGCAAGCCTGCGCAGGAAAATCCATGACTCTTTTTTTGGGGGAGGGTGGGTCCGGTCATGGGGCCTGAACTCTGGGCCTGGGCACTGTCCCTCAGCTCTTCAGCTCAAGGTTAGCGCTCTACCACTTGAGCCACAGCGCCACTTCCGGCTTTTTTCTGTTTGCTTATGTGGTGCTGAGGAATCTAACCCAGGGCCTCATGCATGCAAGGCAAGCACTCTACCACTGAGCCACCTTCCCAGCCCTCCATAAGACTCTTATTTCTAATAAACTACTCAAAAACTTGCTCAAGTAGTAGAGCACTTGGCCTTGTGCAAATGAAGTAAAATATGAGGACATATTTATGAGCATTAGACACATACTGTTTGTCAAAAAAGACATGCTGTTATATGAATCTATTTAATTATTGAGACACACAGTAGCTGATGATCGGGGAAAGTTGGAAACCAAGGCTTGGGGCATAGTTGCTACTTGAATGAAAGAAGAAAGTAAAATCTGAAAGAAAATATTGTTCTTCCTATGTTTAATTTTATTTCTGATGCAATGAAGATGTAGGTATAAAACAATCTGTTGTCATAAGCATCTGCAAAATTGTAAAGAAATGCATTACAACAATAAAGTAAAATGCTGGAGAGACAAAGAAGTATTAAATTTATTGCTGGCAAAATTGGTGAAAGAATTCCCCTGTAGAACCCCAAGATAAGGACACAAGTGTTTTTCTTTCTTGCTACTCTTTTTAATGTTTTTATCATGTACTATGTGATTTTTTCTTGTTTCTTTGATATGTTCTTCCCTCGTGGTATAACCCCTGTTTTCACTGTATTTGATTCTGGTGCCCTGCATCTTGCACATACATTTTTCTAATTTGGGGAGGGGAAGGGAAATAACAAAATGCTTAAATAAGGATACAGGTTGACCCATTGTGGCATTGAGCTATATGAGACATTATGTTGAAAATGAACTTTACAACTTCAGCTAGGAGTAGGGGGGAGGGCTACAGGATGAGATGGGGAGGTGGGGGTGACGGGATGGTAGGGAAAAAACAAAGGAGCAAGTAACAATGCTTGATAGGAAATGTCCTGATTACCTTACCCATGTATCTGTAACCCCTCTGTACAGAAATTTTACAATAAAAACATTTAAAAATACAAATCACAGCATTCAAATTTGTACATGGACATTTGCATTTTGTGAGGAAATTTTCATTTGTGGAGCAGGAAAATATTACTTACTTGTTATTTTGTCAGATAAATTAATCTGATATCATGCCAGGCTGGAAAAAATACATACCCTATTACAATAATTATTAAATGAGTAAATGGCAGAATGCTGAATTCTATGCTGCTGCTTACCAAGCAATATCCTTATTGTCACACGTATCAAGAAAAAGAGGGCAAGCAGGAAAATAAAATTATTGTGATTCCTTGAAGTTTCTAAGTATTTTTAAGAGCTTTGTTAAAATTTTACTAACTAATCTGATTAAAACCTCATATGAAAATTTTCTTCCATATAGCTTTTCAAAAGCATAAGCAATAGAGTTGTTTGGAATCTCTTATTGAGATTCTATATATTTGTCATTGGATTTAAGAATGGCATGTTCCTAATGAATGAAATGAAAGAATCCAAATGAGATAAAATAATCTTTCAGATTCAAAGCAGCAAAAACCATAAATGTGAGATTAAATATCTAAATCAGTTTAACAAATATTATGGTAGCCCCACACATCTGTATTAATTCTGAAGCTTCATAATATTTTTTTGTGGTTCGTGGGGCTTGAAGTCTGGGGCTGGGTGCTGTCCCTCAGATCTTCAGCACAAGGCCAGCACTCTCGTACTTAAGCCACAGGGCCACTTCCAGTTTTCTGATGGTTAGTTGAAGATTGGAGTTTCATGGACTTTCCTGCCCCGGCTGGCTTTTAACCACAATCCTCAGATTTCATCCTCCTGAGTAGCTAGGATTACAGGAGTGACCCACCAACGCCTGGATAGCTTCATCATTTTTAACTAAAAATTGATTCTGAGAATCAGTGAGACTGAAAGACAGAAGATGGTTTAAATATATACTGGATTGTTGCCTTTATGAAATCAGATTTAATTCTATATAGTCAAATAAATGGGTTCTTTTGAACTCCATACACAATACCTGTAAGTAGTCAAGCGTAGGTGATAGATCCTGTGTGCAACATGTAAAACTGATGATGAAAGATATGAGTAAGATGTAACTGAGAGCAAGCACCCCAAGAACAATAGCAGTGAGCATGGAGAAGCAAAGAACCAAGAAAGCCAGAGCCAGGCCCTAGGAATCTCCAAAAGCTAGGAAAATTTCAATTGTGATAAGTGACTGATTTCTCTGTGTGTTAGCATACTGATGATGTGGACACTTCATACACCAGTTGATATCTGGTGAGAAGTAAAAACTACTACCATATTTGGTGAGTATGAAAAACAGTTCAAAAGTCTATTCAACTGGTACAGTAAAACACCCATGTAACATTAGATTCTGATCTCAGCAGTGAACAGGTTATCCTAACTATAACCACCTAGACTCCTACTGGCTCCCCTTCTGAAATTAATCAATCACTTCTTCAATGCTGAAATCTGCCATCTCTAGAATTGTTTTCCATCTACATCAGCCATGTACACAGCTCCTTATTTTCTTCATAGAACAAGATACATGACTAAAGTCTATCTTCAATCTCCTATTTCTTGAAAACCATCTGTATAGAAAAATGCATTTGGCTGCTTTAGATAGCCAATAAAAATGGTGTATCCTGAACTATGAATGTCTTTCCTTTTAGTTATCATTCCCAAGGATTTATTATTATTTCTTCATCTTACATGACTAGAGTGTTTTGCATCAACAGACATTCTCATAGCTTTGCTGAAGTAACAACCATAGCTAACCAACAGGATTGACTTTTACCCAGTGCACATCCATTACTACCAGGTTATATCAAACATTAGAAATGAGAAAGGCTGAATATATTAAACACTACATAAAATT